GGTGGTTGGGGAGGGGGGGGGGGCAGCGTCGACGGGGGCGGCAAATGACGACGGCAGCACCAAGCGAGTCGGAGGCACCAATATCACGTCGAGTAGTTGTGCTTTTCTGGTAGACTGTGCAGTCCACGCCGGCAGAAGGTTTGCCGCGTTGTGGCTTCACTTTTTTTTTCGCGGCACCGTCGTTTGAACCCCCTGCAGGCCCGACACTGGTCGCAGCTTCCCGCTCCCGGCTGGTGGACTAAGATCAAAGATATCACATTTCAAGAAGGACTCCCCAATTCAATTGAAGCTTTCTTAGGATTGGAATGGCGAAAAATCCTTGGAGCCTTCGTTATCTTCGGCTAGTCTGTGCATAGAAGGCGTCGTTTCGCAGAGGCGTATCTCCCGGCATCGGAGATTTGGCATCCGAGAGCCACAAGTATTGCACTGGTTTTGAAGACATCCGCGGCGCCGGGAAGCGGGTAGAAACCCTTCCAGGAATCCCTGCCACCTCAATGAAAAGGCTGCATTCCGTCGTCGGATGAGTGGTTTGCGGTAGGATCCAACTCACAAGCAACACGCTTATTAGCAAAGCTCAACGCCCTGGCGTGTCTGAACGATGTGCCACCAGGCTATCGCCATTACCGTGCGCTGGTACATCTCAGTTGCTTTCGCCATTTCCAGTTTTCCTTCTAAAATATCAACTTGCCTACCTCAGATTTTTAGTGATTTCTAAAGCTGTAAGCTTCAGTCTCCCAACCCAAACTCATTTTGGTCGCAGACAAACCGTCTTGTTCCGATCCCCCCGCCCTTGCCCAACGGTGTCTCAACAGCCGATCTTGACCTATGACCTATGGCGCACGACTCGCAACATTCTCGAGTATGCCTCGATAGGGCATCCCAAATCATTGCCAGTCGCCAGGTTTGATCGACTTCCGCGTGCGTGCCCACCATGAGCCGCCCATAGGCTGACCGCCCAAACCGCCGAAAGTTTGGGGGACCGGGGGAGGGAGAGCCCGTTAGCCCGTCGGGGTGACCGTTCGCGAAAGTTTACCCGTATCCAGGGGGTGCCCCCACTGCCACAGGACCCCACGCAACCAAGGTTGTGTCAAATTTTGTATCGTTCGACCGAGTAGATCGTCCTCGTCATGTCGTACGTGCAATGCTTCCCCCTTGTCAACACTGGCACACACACACCTTGACGGGGTCCCAGTTCATGGCAGATTTTGTGCTTTCAACCGCGCTGAGACTGACGTATTTTCATTGGTCAGCCGGATAGCGCGGTCGATGCAAATATTGAAGACACATACATGTGAGGGACGGGTGTACCCGATTCCTTTAGTTGACTCATTCCCCACCATCCACATCGATCATTCCCCGTCGTGACAGATGACTCTCTAGCCAAGACAGCAGTATTATCAAAATACACACATTCATCCCCGGATTTCCTCCCCTTGGGCATGATACCCTACCAAGAAAATACAACGTGTTTGTTTACTGCGTTTGTTTCGCCTTTGAGCCAAAAACTGACGGGACTGCTCTTTTTGGCAGTTTCCTGTCCCAAATATTGTGCAGTAGACGTTCAAGCCTCCGCCATTCGCTCTCTCGTGCGTTCTGCAGGATGTAAACGGCAACCTTGTACCCATATCGCTACGACCGCTGCCTCCTACTTTACCATGCCGAGGAAACCGCCGTAATCAACGTCTCAGCCGCTTGCGACTGACAAGGATGTGTCACCTCTCCGACCGACAATCTGTAGTGCTTCGATCTTTTGCGCTTCCGAAGCACTACAGATTGTCGGTCGGAAAGGGGGGATTGTACATTTTCGGACTCTTCCATGGAAAGTTTCATGGAAGTCCATGAACTTCCATGGAACCGTTCCATGGACTTCCATGGGCTTCCATGAACTTCAATGAAACTTCTATGGCCTTCCATGGAAATCCATGGAAGGTCATGGAAGTTTCACGACATTCCGTGAAAAGTTCCATAGATGTCCATGACATTTTTGCTGGACTCCTATGGAACCGTTCCATGGACTTCCATGGGCTTCCATGAACTTCGACGAAACTTCTATGGCCTTCCATGGAAATCCATGGAAGGTCACGGAAGTTTCACGACATTCCGTGAAAAGTTCCATAGATGTCCATGACATTTTTTGTCATGAAAGATTCCATGAAAAAGTTTCACTCCTTGTCATGAAACATTTCATGGAAAAATTTCATGGACGTTCATGACATGCTTTCATGAACGCCCGTGAACGTTCATGAAACGTTTCGTGAACGCCCATAAACGTTCATGAACAAACCTTTCATGGGTGCATGAATGGGCGTGCATGAAATATTTCGTGATAATAGCCCATGAACGTCCATGGAACATTTCATGGACGTCCATGGTCTATCATGAAATATTTCATGAACATCCGTGGATTTTCACGAAATATTTCACGAAAGGCCATGGACGTCCATGGAATATTTCATGAAGAGTTCGATGGAAGTCCATGGACTTCCATGAAAAGTTCCATGGAGCTCCATGGGCTTTCATGATTTTTTTCATGGAGCTCCTTGAACTTCCATAAATAGATTTTTCATGGAAGTCCAAGGAGTTCCTTAAAAAAGATTCATGGAAGTCCATAGAGCTCCGTGGAAACAAGTAAAAAGTTTCTTGGAAGTCCAATGAAGCCCATGCACACATCAATGTCCAACACAGCCAAGGCTCATTGTCGGCATTTATCCACCAAGTTGGCGTCACTGGCATATAATATTTCTAGAACGTCCATGAAATGTTTCATAGATTTCTATGAAGAATTATTTCATGGACTTCCACGGACTTCCATGGACATGGTGTCATGGAGTTCCATGGACTTCCATGAAAATTTCATTTTTTCCATGGACTTCCATGGACTTCCATGAAACGTTTCATGGAAGCCCATGGACGTCCATGGACTGGTTCCATGGAAGTCCATGGAACTCCATGGACTTCCATGAAATATTTCGCTAAAGTATACTATAATGTAGATGACGGTTGTTCTGGTGTCCCCCGATCTTGCATAATGCACGGGGCTTTGGAACCACG